CAACATTTGTTGTCAGATTTCTTGATCTAGTCATTGTGACTGGGTGTACTGGTATCACAAAGTGGTTTCAATTCATACTTCCCTGATGACTAAGGATGTTAAATATCTTCATCAGCCTGGAGATATATACTTCTTTGATAGACTACTTGCCTAGTATACACAAGACCCTGTGTTTAATTCCCAGCACTGTAAAATAAATTTAAAAGTTATTGACCAACTTATGAGAGTTTTGTTTCTAGTTTGGTTTTGTTTTTTTTTTCCCAAAAGGGTTTCTCTGTGTAGCCCTTAGCTGTCCTGGAACTCACTGTGTAGACAAGGCTGACCTTGAACTCAGAGATTTGTTTGCCTCTACCACCTGAGTTCTGGGATTGAAAGCATGTACCACCACCTCACCTGGCAATGAGCATTCTTATTTGTTTGTTTTGTTTTCAAGACAGGGTTTCTCTGTGAAACAGTCCTGGCTGTCCTGGAACTCACTCTGTAGACCAGGCTGGATTTGAACTCACAGAGATCTCCCTGCCTCTGCCTCCTGAATGCTGGGATTAGACGTGTGTACCCCTGTCCCCCATGAGTGTTTTCTTAGCCTACTTAATTTATTAGCACATTTGTTATTTGGCAGTTTTATTCCACTGATATTTAATTTCTACAGTTCTTTATAAATTCTTGATTTTATCCCCTTGTCTGCAGTACAGCTGATAAAAACTTTGTCCCATCCTGTGGGCTGTCTGTTTGCTCTGATAATTGTTTCCTTTGCTGTAAAGAAACTTTATTTTCATGTAGTCCCGCGTGTTAATGCTTGGGAATAATTCCTGAACTCTTCAGAAAGTCCTTGCCTGTCTCCATCTCTTGAAGAGTGTCCTCTGTGCTTTCATCAAGTAGCTCAATACTTCAGGTTTTTAGTTAAGGTCTTGGATCCTTTTCAAGTTGACTTTTATACAGGGTAAGAGATACTAATCTAATCCCATTATATTTCACGTGGAGATCCAGTTTTGCTAGCACCGTTTGTTTGATTAGGCTACCTTTTTCCAAGTGTATGTTTTTGCCTCCTTTGTTAATAATTAGGTAATTGGAACTTTGTCAGTTTATCTTAGTTTTCTATTGTTACATTGGTCTACCTTTTTTTTTTTTTTTTTTTTGGTTTCTCGAGACAGGGTTTCTCTGTATTGTTTTGGAGGCTGTCCTGGAACTCACTCTGTAGACCAGGCTGGCCTTGAACTCACAGAGATCCGCCTGCCTCTGCCTCCCGAGTGCTGGGATTAAAGGCATGCGCCACCAACGCCTGGCTGGTCTACCTGTTTTTATATCAATAGCAAGCTTAGAATGTATACTTTTAAGTGAAGTCACCTGATCCCAGAAAGAAGAACAAGCACATGCTCTCTTTCATAAGTGGATCTTAGCCTATAATGTATACATATATATGTAAGCTAGCATATTTTATATATGCATATATATACATATATATAAACTAACATCTGCTAATATAGGGTTTAGAAAAGGAGGGATACTATTAGGTGATGAAGGAGGACAATGCAGGTAAAAGACAGTTGTGAAAAAGGATATAAAGTTAATTGCTTTTCTAGCTTTAACTCTGTCCCCCCCTCTTTCTTGCTCTCTTTCGTGTGTGTGTGTGTGTGTAGCTTTGTCAGTTTATTTCTGAGTTCTCTATTCCTTTGCATTGGTCTACCTGTTTTATGCTAGTAACAGGCTTAGAATGTATACTATTAAGGTTGCTCAATCCCAGAAAGACTGGTATGCTATGAAAGTGCTAGCTATGTCTGATTAGTAATACTGAAGAAGAAAAGACAAACCACTAATCTCAAGTCTGGGAAGCACCAAAATTCTATCTTATGGCCTCAGAAGTTGTGTGTTTAGGGTAAGCCTCCTGGAGCTACAGAATAGTGAAGCTGCATTTAGAAAATTCAATCTAGGCATGCATGAAGAGATTATTCAACAGTTAAGAGCACTGGCTGCTCTTCCAGAGGTCCTGAGTTCAATTCTCACATGGTGACTCAAAACTGTCAGATGTCCTCTTCTGGTGTGTAGATATATATACAGAAAATAAATACCCACATATATAAACCAATAAATCTTTTTTTTTTTTTGAGACAGGGTTTCTCTGTGTAGCCCTGGCTATCCTGGAACTTAGTCTTGCAGACTAGGCTGGCCTAGGCCTCAGAAATTTACCTGCTTCTGCCTCCTGAGTATTGGTCAAATAGATCTTTTTTAAAATTAGAGAAAGAAAATTGGAGCTAATTACTGAGCATGTTCAGGGCAAAAACCATCTAGTTAATGACATGGATCTTAAATGTGTTGTCATAACAAAATGTATTCAACTGTAGGAGGAATTTTTCTGTCCCACCAGTCAGAGACTTATTATTGATTATAAATGCTTGGGCAATAGCTTAGACTGTTTTTAACTAGCTCTTAAAACTTAAATTAACACATTTATATTAATCTATGTGCTTCCCCAAGGCTTGTTTAGCTCATGTATGAACTTCCCATGTTGTTTTTTCTGCACCTGGCTCTTGACTCACATGGCTCCCTAATTCTGTCCTTTTTTTCTTTCAAGCTTTCTTCCTGCCTAGCTATTGGCCAATCAGCTTTTTATTAACAATGAGAGCAACACATCTTCCCAGTGTACAGAAGGATTATTCCACAGCATTTGCCCCTTTTGTCTAATTAAAAAGGAAGGTTTTAATTTTAACATAGTAAAATTATATACAACAAAAAATGTTATCAAGTAAGAATCACAGTTACAATATCTAGTCCATTTATATTTGGAAAAATTAGAGAAAATATTCTACTTAATTTTATCCTTGTGAGTCTAAAGTTTTACATCTAATTTACCTTTTATTATAACTAAGGAGAACTTTAAGTCTAATTATTTAGTCTTTAACTCCATAAGAGACCCCAGAAGGGTGTAATGTTACCTAATGAAAGGGACATTTGGCTGCCTGGACAGTCACCCAAATTTGTATGACACTGGAGCACCTATCTTTGGCCTACAGGCCTAGTACATCTGACAGACATTTTTAGAAGCAGGAAATATTGAAGGACTGTCACACCTTGTCTTGGCAAAGTTTGGCAGTTTCTTTTTTGTGTTTGTATCCTGCTCATCTAATTTGGACAGTATACTATCAGCAATTGAGGCAAGGGCATTTTTTTGCCCAAATGACTTGCTTTTGCCATAAAGAAAGCAAACTCCATATGGACTTTCTTCAATGCCCATCATCCTCTTTTGAAGCAGATTGGTGCTGTCAGGAGCAGAGATGTCTCATTGTCATGAAAAGCCTTTGGTTATTAAACATTAAATGTCATAGTCTGTATGTCTTTGAAAACATACTTAACATGATTATAAGATTGATTATTATAAAGTTTGGCATTGTAGACGACTATAAATCTGTATTTTTTGTAATGTATTTATTTAAATTAGAAACATGAATGTTTCACATGTCAATTCCAGCTCCCTTTCCCACCCCTAAATCTGTATTTTGTTTGTTTGTTTGTTTTTCAAAACAGGGTTTCTCTGTGGCTTTGGAGGCTGTCCTGGAACTAGCTCTTGTAGACAAGGCTGGTCTTGAACTCACAAGGATTTGCCTGCCTCTGCCCCCCAAGTGCTGGGATTGAAGGTGTGCACCACCTCCCCCACTGCTGGTTTAATCTATATTTCTTAATTGTATATTACGTTTAAAAGCTGTATAAGTAAATACCCCAAAACGAGCAAAAACATACATATAGTATAGCAAAAACAACTTTAAATTTGTATCATTAAATCAAAATCAATACCAAATGTAAAATATTTTGACATTAATAGTTGCTTTTTTAATTGAAGTAGATTCAATAATCCACCTTTTTCCCCCTACCATTACTATATCATATCCCCTGTTTTTCCTTTAGAAAAAGATCTTTGAATTTAACCCTTTTGTTTAGATTTTTTTTCTGACTATGACCAATACCAACGTGTAGCCTACCCCCTACACAATGACATATATCCATAATACATTGAATAACCAAAACCCGGTCATCCCCCATCTTTTGGGAATTTGGGTATTGTTCTCTATACTACTTACTGTTGTTTGTGGGTATTGGTATCTTTGGAGGAACCTTGAGAAAAATCAGGAAAATTGTTAAATCTTGACTAGAGTAGTTTGTGAGGTTGTACCATCTCAGCCAGCAGCTTTGAAGCTGTTTTGGATGCAGAACTCCAATGCATTTTGAGATGCTGAATCACCTGGGTCATCCATTTTCATTGGTGTTTAGTCCTCTTGTTCTGAAAATACATAAACATAATAAAGGTAACATATATATATGTATTAATACAAATATAGATTGCATTGTATTCAAGTTGGCCAAAGATGATTTTTTTTATGTTTGAACGGTAATATATACATGTTTTGTGGTTTTTCTAGGTTTATTTCTTTATGCCTGTAGTCAGTATTTTTGGTATGATATGGTCAAACCTGATCTATATCAATCTGGAATGAATCCATAGCCTCTTATTTCCTGTAGAAGTAAAAGCATAACCTCTTCCCAAAAGTAACATCTTTTGACTCCCATTTTGAAGTGAAGACATTTTAAAAATATATAGATTGGTTTAATCCAGCAGTTTTCATGATCCAATGTATCTTAGCAGCTCTTGTTCATTAACAATTAGAAAATCTAAAGACAACATAATAACATATAGAATCCAGACACTGTACATTTCCCATCTTTACATGGCCTATTATATTTTTATTACTTTATTCCTTGTTTTGTTTGGTTTTTTATTTTTTTAGTTTTTTGAGACAGGGTTTCTCTATGGCTTTGGTGCCTGTCCTGGAACTAGCTCTTGTAGACCAGGCTGGTCTCAAACTTACAAAGATCCACCTGTCTCTGCCTCCCAAGGGCTGTGCCACCACTGCCCGGCTTACTTTATTCCTTTTTTAAAGGGATTTACTTTATTATTTTTAACTGTGTGTAAATCTATGACTGTATACACCTTTCTCTTTTCTCTCCCAAGTCTGTGTATATTTTTAAACACACTGTAACCTGTTTAGAGGTTTTTGTTTTTTCCCAATCTGGATATGTCTTTACTGAGCATCTATATTGTTTCCTGATCACATTAGATGAATCTTATATTTTTGGTTGTGAGTCTAGCCTTTAACGGCTGAGCCATCTCTCCAGCCCCACATTAGATGAATCTTAAACTGCTGCATCAGCCACAGGCACTGCTCATCTTAGTGAATGGCACTAGTGCGTGGTGGTTGGCAGCTGGTTTCATCCCGCAGGCAGCTGCTGCTGGGGAGATGTGCGTCCGTGCGGTGGCCAGTCTGAGAAACACGAGACTAGGAAGCCACATTTGGCTCTGTTCTTGTGTGTTTAGAACTTTTTAAAGCTTTCTTAGTCGTATGTGCATGTAGGTGCTGGACATTTGGGTGACATTCCATGATCAGAACATAACCCATAATTGAATCTCATGTGGATGTCAAGACAGTTGATTTTTTTTTATTTGCTTCATCTGTTCTGTGCTGGTTTACTAAAAACAAACACCACCATATACTGGAGACCCCCAGCAACAGCAGGCCTTCCAGATCCAGAAGATGATGGAAATCACAAGCCAGGAAGTGCAAACGACTTCAAAGAAGTAGCTAGTAAACTGACAGTTGACAAGCACTGGAGAAGAGAGGTCTGCCAGATGTGTCCTTTTCACTGTGCTTTCACTATAAAAGTAAGTGCTGACCATGTCCGGGTTTGAGTATCGAAAACTCCTGGCAGTTTTGGAAAAGTTGCTGGTGATGAGACAGGTTATTTTTAACTTTTCTTTTCCCCTGTGTAGCTTTGGAGACTGTCCTGGAACTAGAGCTTGTAGACCAAGCTGGCCTGGAACTCACAGAGACCCGCTTGCCTCTGCCTCTCAAGTGTTGGGATAAAAGGCGTTCGCTACCACCACCTCTGGGCAGGTTTATTTATTTTTATTTTACGTGTTTGAGTGTTCTGTCTGCACATATGTTATTTACATACATGCAGTACCAGCAGGGGGCAGAAGAGGGCGTTGGAATTACAGAAGCTGGCGTTAAGAGGCCTGTGAGAGGTGGTATGGGTGCTGGACAGTGAATCTGGACGTCTGTAAAACAGCCAGTGCTCTTAACCACTGAGTTACCTCTTCAGTCCTAGGTGCTGATGTTGAATGAGCTGAAACAGGAGTCCGAGAATTTATTTAAAATTCAGATTTTGATATTTATTATTTTTAAAGTTTTATTTTTAAATTATGTGTGTGTCTTAGGGGGTATGTATACATGAGTGTGGGTGCTGAAGGAGCAACCACTGAGTCATCTCTCCAGGCCTAAAATTCAGATTTTTATGGTGATAAATAAAAGTCCTATTTGTGATTAAAATAAAAAAAAAAAAAACTACCAAAAGTGAATATTTAAATTGTACTTATTATAGGGAAAAAATTTTAAAATCAGGGCTCTCATTTAGACATGAAATGAAAATGGCTTAAAGATTTTTTTCTATTTCACTAATGAATGATTTCAAAGGGATGTCCAAAGGCCAGACAAACATATGAACCATTCAGCAACGCTGAAATCAATTTCCCTCCTTGTCTTCCCTTTTCATTCGTTTTCCCCCTGGCTCATCCACCCCCACCCCCACCCCCCACTTCCCTTTGGCAACATGGGGATTGCATCTAGGGCATTATTTAAGGGAAGCTAGTGTTCTACCGGTCAGTTACAGCCCTAGAAAGGAAATCAATTTTCTTTGTTGATAAAAAATTGCCCTTTTGCACAGGGAGAGGGGAGTCATCAGAAACTCACCAAATGGAATTTATCTGAATGTGTCAGAATAACTATTTGTACTCATACCAGTGTTTCAAGAATCTATAAGTCTGCAGAATTTTTCACTGGCTCAAAGAAAAGTACAGGTCCCATTGAACCTGGTAAATGGGAGGGAAGAGGAGTTACTTTCAAGTCATCTTTTGGCTGCAGCTTCCCCTTAACAATGACCCCTGGGTGTGGGGGTGGGGAGGTGTCTTGGTCCTACCTCAATGAGATGATGGGACAGACTTAGTAGACTTCCTAGGGGAGGCTTTGCCCTCTCTGTGGAGCAGATGGAAGGGGGGGGGAGTGAAGGGAGTGGGAGAAGAGGAGGAAGGGGGAACTGGGATTGGAACGTAAAAAATAAAAAAAACAATGACCCCTGGGCTGAAGAGGCGGCTCACTAGGTTAAGAGTACTTGCTGTGAAAACATGACAACTTGAATTCAAATCAACAGCACTGACCTAAATTGGGTATGGCTTTGCCTGTAACTCCAGCACTGTGGGAAGTTGAGACAAGAAAATCACTGGGGTGGAGCTTGCTGGCCAGAAAAGGGTGTCAGAATTAGAGCTTCATATGTTTATGAGCTGCCACGTGGGTGCTAAAAATTGAACCAGGATCCTCTGCAAGAGCAACAAATGCTCATAACTACTGAGTCATCTCTCCAGCCCCCTGCCTTGAAGTTTTATGTGTTTAATGCACGGGGGGGGAGCATGGTTGGGATAGGGTCTTGTTTATGTAGCCCTGGCTAGTCTGGAACTTGACATATAAATCAGAGTAGCCTTGAATTTGTAGTGAGACTCCTATTTAGCATCCCCAGTGCTGGAATTATAGGTATGTATCACCATACTTGTCCTTTACGGATTAAAAATTGTTTCAGACAGAAATGGAGTTGCATGTAGTCCCCTCTGTACCTCTCTCCTCATTCTCTCTTCTTCCTCTCCCCTACTCTGTGTTTTAGACAGGGTCTCTTTCATACAACTGAGGATGGTCTTTCTGCTTCCATCTCCCAAGAGGTTTTCTGTTGTTTTTTGTTTTGTTTTGTCTTGTTTTTCAAGACAGTGTTTTTTCTGTGTAACCTTGGCTGTCCTGGAACTAGGTCTGTAGACCAGGTTGGCCTTGAACTCACAGAGATTTGCCTGCCTCTACCTCCCAAGTGCTGGCGTTAAAGGTGTGCACCAACACCTCCCAGCTTCCCAAGAGCTTTTTTTTTTTTTTTTTTTTTTTTTTTGGTTTTTTACGAGACAGGGTTTCTCTGTTTTGGAGGCTGTCGGTCTAGCCTGGCCTCGAACTCACAGAGATCCGCCTGCCTCTGCCTCCCGAGTGCTGGGATTAAAGGCGTGCACCACCAACGCCCGCCCAAGAGCTTTTATTGCAGGCAGGTAACCTGTACCCTGCCACCCAGCTTCAATCTGTTGCCTTCAATTGAAGTCTCTTGTGGTGCTGTTTCTTCTGTGGCCTACATGTCATCTGTCCAGTCTTTGCCCTCCAGCTCCTGCAGATCCAGAAATGGCCTTGTGTTGTTTTCTGTATCTATTTAAACTCCTCCAAAGAATCCACTAGGACAAAATTAGTACAAAATGACAGAGACTCTACTGAACTTTGTCTCTGGCAGACAAAACACCTTAAACTTTCCTCTTTTCCCTAATATCTCTCTTCTGATAGACTCTCCTCCCAAGAAGTTTGGGCCCTTGGTCTTTCTTTCTTTCCTCCCTCCCTCTCTCTCTCTCCCTCCCTCCCGCCCTCCCTTCCCCTCTTTTTTAAACAAATTCTCTCTCTAATGTAGGCCAAGCTGGTCTCAAACTTACTACTAGTATGACTCCTGGCCTTGAACTTCTGATCTTCAGGTTTCCTCCTCCCAAGTGCTGGGATTATAGGCGTGTGCCACTTTTCCTTATAGAGACTTAGATTTTCTTGTCTCCTTATTCACACATCTTTAGTTTAATCCCTCAGTGACTTTCTCAAGAACAAAAAGGAATGTTGAATCAGCTCAGGATGGTTCAGTGGTTTGTGTCTTTGTGTGGTGGGTGAGAGTATCACCATCAGTCTAAGAGGACTTTGTGAAGGTCTAAGAATCTTTTAGACAGTTTTTTCAAAGTTCTCCATCTTCAAAAGAAGAAATCTGTTCTCACTTGTAACATTTTGTGTATGCTTACATATTTATGTGTGTGCGTATGTGTGTTTCTAATTAGCTCCTAAGCTAATTAGACAGAAAACATGAAAGTTTATAGAAACAAATCCTCTTCCTCCTCCTTGAAATAGAGTCTCATATAACCCAGGCTGGTCTTAAATTCATCACTGTAGCTTTGGGTTCATCCCCACCACTGCATAAGCAAGGTATGGTAGCACATGCCTGCCTGTAATCCTAGCCTTGGGACATGGGAGCTGGAAGACCAGGAATTCATGGTTACATATTGAGAGATGGAGGCCACATTGTGGTACACAAGACCCCATCCCCCAACAAACAAAAAGAGTCATCAGTCCTAAATGAATGGTTTCATATACAGATAATATTATAGTTCTAAAAGAAGATATAAGGGACAGGAGAAATAAATGGCTTAGCACTCTTAGGAGTACTGGCTGCTCTTCCAGATGACTGAGGTTCGATTACCAGCCCCCCTATAGTAGCTCACAACCTTCAATAATTCCAGTTCCAGGGGATGGATCCAACGCTGTCTTCTGGCCTTCTCAAGCATGATTGAAGATATACATGGAGGCAGAACTTTTTTTTTTTCAAAAAGAAAGGAGAGATGGTATAAACTACTAATGGTCATAAGATAATATACAATTCTGATGAAGAGCACATTCTTGCAACAGTTTTCTTACTTTCCTGCCCGAATATAAGAAAATGTAGTAGAGAAACGCTACCCAGAGTAAAAGAGAACAATTACACGTCTTATATTGCATTTGTGAAACTTCAGTAGGCTTCTTCCTTCAAAACCAAAATACAAAAGCGCCATCTCAGGCAGAATCATTTTCTGAAGACATTATGTCTTTACCATTTTAACTCCTCCTTTAACAGAGAAGCTGCGGAGATAACAGCTGCCCTAGAGACTTCCGTACAACATGGCGCGGCCCATAGGCATACGCCATGGTGTGTGTATGTGTGTGTGTGTGGGGTGTGTTACATCCTCCTGTCCGGCCACTGGGCCGGAAGTGGCTACGGCGTTTATGCATCCGGGTGGGTGCGGCCAGCCACCGCGGGGGTTCCAGGCTGTCAGCGTGGGGTGCCGCAGGTGTTCGAGCGAGGCTGGAGGCCGCAGGTAAGTGAAACTCGGCTTGACTAAGTCTTCTCTGGGACTGTGGGTCGGGCAGAGGGGTTTCCAGGGTGGCTCGAGAGGTTCGTGATGCTGGTACCACTTTGCGCGTGGGCGACTGTTGGGCTCCAGCGGTTCCCGGGCGTTGTTGGTCCTGCCCCTCTCCCCGCCCTGAGGCGCGGCCTCCTGGTCCCTCACTCGGTGTAGGCGGTTGAACCCTCAGGTTCGGGGAGGACTCACCCCGCCATTGGTCCCCAAGCCTTCCCGGGCCGCCCCTTTCCATCCACCCCTCTTCTCGTCCGGAGCATCCACCAACCCTTCGAGGGTTGACCCCGTCAGTTAAAAAGCAGCCCCCACCGCCGTTCCTCCCGGCTTAGGGGTACCCGCCCCACTCGGGTACCTGTAGGCCCACATCGCTGCCCCGCCATTTGCTGGGAGCCTTCGCTGGCTTTGGCGCTTCACATCCGCGGGGTAGCTCAAACTAGAACTTTAAACCTTATTTAGTCAAAATTGACATCTGTTCATTACAATTCAGGCTACCCAAGCGTTTACAAGCTTTTGCTATATGATTGGACGCAAATTCCCTTATATAACCCCTCCTTGGAAACAAAAAACTGTTTTGTTTTTATTAATCTGGGGGTGGGTGGGCAGGGTTT